GCTTTTCTTGGAAACTTCATTGCAGGTACTTAAACAAAAATCACTCTGATATCCAAAGTCGCAAAAAGTCGCCTGTTCGGGTTTAATCCGTGTATTGAACCAGTGTTTCAGATTTAACTATAAATATACAAACACATATGTACAACACACAAATATATGTAGAAGCACACACAATACACACACGTCTTCTCTATCACAAAGTTGTGTAACCACGCGCACACTCGTCACACTACTTGTATCAACTGCCTGTAAGCATTGTATCATCTTACAACAATGCACGCAGAGGTGACTGCAGGAATGAACTCTCATTGCAGGTACTTACACAAAAAGCACTCCGATATCCAAAGTCGCCGAAATTTTCATTTCACTGATTTTCCTAAAACTTATATTACTGTCAGATGCAAAAATCAGATTGGACATTTTTACTTACACTTATTTCAATTTTTTCTACATAGTAAGTTTTTCTACAATCTATGATATTTCCATATAAATAATTATATTTTAGCTCATTTGTAGCACAGTGCAGCGATGGGCTGGATGAACTGACCTGTCTCAATAGATGGAGAAAAAATAGAAAAAATACTTGGAAATTCAGTTATGTATCAATAGATGGAGAAAAAATACTTGGAAGTTCAGTTATCTCTCAAAAGACGGAGAAAAAAATATTTGGAAGTTCAGTTATCTCTCAACAGATGGAGAAATAGATAATAAGGAAAAATACTTGGATGTTCAGTTATCTTTCAATAAATGGAGACTGTATTGAACTATTATTAAAAACCTTTACTTAAAATACAATAGAAGTAAGTACTGTCACTACCTTATATTTGCACAACAAACACGTCCTGATGCTCGTCCAATAACTATCAATTTAAATCCTATTGTGTTCATTCCAGAATGAAAGATGCATAATTTATGTTTATTTCATAATTTTTTATGATGGTTGCGAGATCGTTCAAATTTTCCGAACCCGAACAGAAATTGATTACTGAAGACAAAATATAAAATATAAAGTTTTCTCCTAGGAAACGTTTGGTAACTATTTGGACAATATAAAAATTAGATATATGAAAGTTCG